GGGTCCAGGCCCGAAACGTCAGCCTTCCTGCTCCTCTGATGCTGCTTGGCCTGCTGTGTTCATCCAGCTCTACACCTTGTTATCTCAGATTCTCCAGCATCTGCAGTTCCTACTATCTCTGTTTAGAACTTTTCTTGGGTTTAGATTTAGCAGCTCTAGGAATCTTAATGTGCACATAAAAATCTATGGTGTGATATCTCATTTCAGTTTACTCCAGGATATTCTGCACACCAGGATCAAATTCCTGAGACAACTGGTTTTATTGCTGTTGTCTCTGACTACACTTTTTCATGCTGTGTCAGTACATCATGCAGAAAAAAAATTGGAAATTTTAAAATGGTGCACTAGAGAGAATTCCATGAAAGAAACAAAACTATTTAATCCTTAATAGATTCTCTTATTACATGGGTGGTTGGCATTGAAGAAGTATCTTGTAACAAAGATCAGTAATATTGACACTGATGCTACATTATTGTTTTCTGTGGTGCCCTGTCACATCAGAAGGTGATTAAGTATCCTATTCTTCAACTTTTTCAATTCAATGCATTATACAAATATATGGGCATTTAAATTGACATTTGTAATGGCTATGTATAATAGAGAATGAAGTCTTTTGTCAGCCTTGCGTCGAGACACAGGAGACACCCAGTCAAAGTATGTTTACATTCAGAGCATTTATGACAAGAAGTGAATTTGCAACATGAACTTTTTAAAATAAAATAATTCGTAACTTAGTCAGGATAAGAAGCTAGCTTGATCAAACCTTCTTTTGTACGTTCGTTCCAGTGATTGCTCACACAGGGTAAGATGTCCTGAGCTGGTCTTTAGGTGAAAGCTATGATGTTGCTCATGTTTGAAATGTATTTGTTAAACCAGAACCAAATTTTGAAGAATCCCAGAGTGCTGTACCAGCAGGGACAACACGAGTTGAGAGCATCGAACTTGTCCTGCCACCTCATGCAAACCACCAGAGTAACACTTTTGGAGGACAAATCATGGCTTGGATGGAAAGTGTTGCTACGATCTCTGCAAGGTCAGATCTCCATCGTGTTTATTTGCTGTTCTTTCTTCCATTTGTTGTTAGCTGGCCAGCAGGAGCCTTGGATACAGCCTCTCACGCGCACACGCAAATGCACACCCTTACCCAGACTGCTTTGTGACTAACCACCACCAGAAATCTGCAACAGTTGGGCTGATTGTTTTTCTTACTCCATCACCTTCCCACCAATTCTACACTAATAATTTTGATTATGGGACCCTCTGATAAGAGATTCCCTTCTTCAAAATGTCATAAATGGTTTATCAAAAATATTCTCACAGTTTTAATTGTTTTACCTTCTCCCTTTTGTTTATTGATGACTATTGCTTATCTCTCATTTTTTTGGCGGTTTTCATTACAGTTTATTATCACTGGTACTGCTTTACCTCTAGAGCCACAATTTTCAATTATTTAGATTTTAATAATCAATTACCAGAACTTTGCATGTGTAATGGGATTATGGGAACTACTTTCAGATGCAGTAGTGTTATAAGAGTTAAAATGGGTACTAGATACAACCTTGTCCATGTCTACATTTATTCTATACATGTAGACAGATAGATATCTTTCTGAGCTATGCTCACGGAAAATTAGAGCATGTAGGGCTAAATTTTCATCAGTTTCTCCTGAGTGTAAGACATCCCCTTGGCAATGCAGAACACCGAAAATCTGATGGGGAGAAGAACAAACACGAAATGTACCTTGCCAAATTTAATATGAGGAGCAAATCTCTGTGATCTCCCCATCCATGGTACCCCTACAGTCTGCCCAGAAATAACAAAATAAAAGTATATTCCAAGATCTCTTTCTTGCCCGTCTCTGCTATGTTCATATTGCCTTGATTTTATTCATTCACAGGGTGCATCATTGACATGACCAGCCTGTATTCTCATTCTCTGATTGCCCTTGGGAGTGTGATGGTGATCTATCTTCTTGACTGGATGCTGTGCATCAGGTTTGGGTAAAAGGTTAATGGTCCCCAGTACACATCCTTGTGGGATGCCACTTTCTACATCCTGCTGGTATGTTACTCCCCTACACCAAGAGCTCCTACTTTGTGCTGTAACCCTTTACAAGGAACCGTCTCAAATGCCTTCTGGAAACCCAAGTATAGTAAGTAATGAACAGGATTCCCTTTATCAATAGCACACATTGCTTTTTCAAAGAATTCCAATATATAAAAGTTATGAAGGAAATTACTTGCATATTTCAGCAAGTTAGCTTTCCAGAAAGACCATAGGGCCATAAGATACAGGAGCAGGATTAGGCTATTCAGCCCACTGAGTCTTAGTTAAACATGATTTCATTGTCACAAAACAATACTGACTCTTCTCATTGACCTTGAGTTTTTTTGAAGTGTCCAGTTGTAGCTGCCTTAATATCTATTCTAAAACATTCCCCACAAGATACATCAGGCTAACTGGACAGCTGCAGTCTGTGTGCTGTAGGTAGATCCATAATGTCCTTAGGTGGGAATTCCAGGATTTTGACCCAGTGACAGTGAAGGAACAGTTTTATATTTCCAAGCCAGGATGGTGAGTGGCTTGGAAGAGAGCTTTCAGGTGGTAATGTTCCCATGTTTCTGCTGCTCTTGTCCTTCTAGGCGGAAGTGGTCACGGCTTTGGAATGTGCTGGCTTAGGAACTTTGCAGTGCATCTTGTAGATAGTAGCAACAGTGTGTACTGAGCATCGCTAGTGGAGGGAGTGAATGTTTGTAGTGCCAATCAAGCGGGCTGCTTTGTTCTGGTGATGTCAAGCCTCCCGAGTATTATTGGAGCTGCACTCGTCCAGGCAAATGGGGAGTATTCTATTGCCTGACTTGTGCCTTGTAGATGATGGACAGGCTTTGGGGAGTCAGGAAGTGTGTTAAACACTGCAGTATTCCTAGCCTGTGATTTGTTCTTGTAGCCACTGTATTTATATCGCAAGTCCATTTGAGTTTCTAGTCAGTGGTAACCCCTGGATATTGCTAGTGGGGGATTTAGTGATGATAACACTAATTGAATGTCAACGGGCAGTGGTTAGATTTGTCTCTTACTGGTGATGTCCATAGCCTGACATTTGTGTGGTGAGTGTTACTTACCACTTGTCAGCCCAAGCGAAGACATTGTCCAGGTCTTGTTGTATTTGAACACCGACTGCTTCAGTATCTGAGGAGTTACAAATAGTGCTGAACACTGTGCAATCATTGGCAACCATCCCCACTCCTGACGTTATGATGGAGGGAAGGTCATTGATGAAGCAGCCGAAGATGGTTGGGCCCTAGGACACAATCCTGAGGATCTCCTGCAGAACTGACATAATTGACTTCCAACAACCACCAGCATCTTCCAATGTATCAGTTATAACTCCAACCACTGGAGAGATTTCCCGATTCATTGATTCCAGTTTTGCGAGGGCCCCTTGATGCCACACTCCGTCAAATGCAGCCCTTATGTTAAGGGCTGTCACGCTCAACTTCACCTCTGGAATTCAACTCTTTTGACCACGTTTGAACCAAGGTCAGGAGCTGAGTGGCCTTGACAGAACCCAAACTGGGCATCACTGAGCAGGTGCTGCTTGATAGCATTGTTGATGACATCTTCCATCACTTTACTGTCATTGAGAGTAGACTAATTGGACTGTAATTGGCTGGGTTGGATTTGCCCTTTTTTTGTGTACAGGGCATACCTTTGAAATTTTCCACCTTGTCAGGAAGATGCCAGTTCTGTAGCTGAACTGGAGCAGCTCGTCTATGGATGCAGCAAATTTTGGAGCTCAAGTCTTCAGTACAATTCCCAGGACGTTGTTAGGGTCCATAACCTTTGCAATATCCAGTCTCCAACCGTCTCTTGATATCAAGTGGAGTGAATCAAATTGGTTGATAACGGGTATCTGTGATGCCGTGGACCACTGGAGGAGTTTGAGATGGATCATGCACTCGGCACTTCTAGTCAAGGATAGTTGCAAATGCTTCAGCCTTACCATTTGCACTAATGTGCTGGGCTGTTCCATCATTGAGGGTGGGGGATATTTACTGAGCCGCCTCCTCTAGCAAGTTGTTCAACTGTCCATCACTATTCAGAATTGGATATGGCAGGACAGCAGATCTTAGATCTGATTCGTTGGTTGTGGAATCAATTATTCTATCTATCACTTGCTGCTTATGCTGTTTGGCATGCCTGTAGTCCTGTTTGGTAGCTTCACCAGGTTGACACCTCATTTTTAGGTATGTCTGGTGCTGCTCCTGCATTCTCATTTGTACCAGGGTTGATCCCTTGACTTGATGGTCACGGTGAGTGGGAGATATGCCAAGTCTGAGGTTGTAGATTGCGCAAGAGTACAATTCTGCTGCAGTTGATGACCCACAGCACTTCATGGATGCCCAGTCTGGAGTTGCTGGATCTTTTTGAAGTCTGTCCCACTTAGCACGGTGATACAACACAATGGAGGGTACTCTGAATGTGAAGGTGGGACTTCATCTCCACAAGGACTCTGCAGTGGTCACTCTTACTGATATTGTCAGGGATAGATGCATCTGCAGCAGGTGCTTTAGTAAGGATGAGGTCAAGTATGTTTTTTTCCCCCTTATTGGTTCCCTCCCCATCTATTGCAGACCCAGTTATGTTCGTTAAGACCCAATCAGCTCGATCGATTTGGCTGCTGCCGAGCCACTTGTGGTAGAGGACATTGAAATCCTCCATCCGGAGTACATTTTGCATTGTTGCCACCCTCCGTGCTTCCTCCAAGTGTTGCTCAACATAGAACGCTGATTCATTAGCCGAAGGAAGATGGTATGTGGTATTCAGCAGGAGGTTTCCTGCTGTTTAACCTGAAGCTCTTCAACACTTGATCTGAGCTCCATTCTGACACCATCTTATGAGCTCACAGGGCAACAGTCTAATATACTGTTTCTTTATGAAACTGGCTGTAAGATAGATGCCTGTCATGAGTATCTCATGGTAGACATCTCATGACTTTGGCTAGCCACAGGACACATTCATACAGTATTGCATTGCTATCCCAAACAGTGTGTCTCCTACCTTGTGCTTCTGGGTGATAAAGATTATAGATTTTGAAGGTACGTTGCTGCATTGCCTCTTGTAGTTGGTACACATTGCAGCCAACTTGTGTCAGTGGCAGAGGGAGTGAATGTTGGATTGGGTAATGATCAATGGGTTGCTTTGTCCAGGATTATGTTAGGTGTTGTTTTAGGTGTGCCATTCCTGATTTTACTTTTTGAATTAGAGGAAATATTTAGAGAATCAGCAATCACACATATCCAGCCTCTGAGTTACTCTTGTTACTGTCACAGCATGTTATTTGCAACAAACATCTCACAAAACCATGTTGCTGATGGATTAAGTTTTGGTCATGTTGAATCACAAATGGAGTTGGTTAGACTCTCTCTTCTTGAATGCACTAATTGCCTGATGCTTGTGCGATGTGAATGTTATTTGCCACATATCATCCCGAGCCATAATGACGTCCAGATCGTGCTGCACGTGGGCATGGGCTGCTTCAGTATTTGAGGAATTGTGAATAATACTAAATAATGTGCAAATCATCAGAGAACATCCTCACTTTCCATGTTATTTGAGAGGGAAGCTCATTAATGAAGTGACTGAAGATGGCTGTGCCTCGAACACTGCCCCCTGGAATTCCTATGAAGATATCCTGTAACTGAGATGATTGGCCTCCATTTTCCACAACCAGCTTTCTTTGTGCTAGATAAGACTCCACTCAGTGGAGAGTTTCCCAACTGAATCCCATTGACTCCAAGTTTGCCGAGTACCTTGGAGGAAGCACGGAGGGTGGCAACAATGCAAAATGAACTCCGGATGGAGGATTTCAATGTCCTCTACCACAAGTGTTGCTCAACATAGAACGCTGATTCATTAGCCGAAGGAAGATGGTATGTGGTATTCAGCAGGAAGTTTCCTGCTGTTTAACCTGAAGCTCTTCAACACTTGATCTGAGCTCCATTCTGACACCATCTTATGAGCTCACAGGGC